GGTAGAAGGGGTGCATCAGGAAATGAAAGAAAGTGGTTACGAAGAGTATAACGAGAAGAACTGCATTACTTAATTGAATCTGGTTGGAATGTGATTCAATAAAAGGTAACCCTAATGAGCTCTATATAAGGATGCATTAAATACATTGGAAATCTCTTAATTGCCTTACGTTGATTCCAATCAAAAAATATACTGATATCCTGCAAAATGCAAAAGTGTTGTAGTCTATATTGATTCCAGTATCAACAAGACTCATTAAGTCTAAGATTTATATTTTATAAGGAGCGGGCGTTAATAATGCTCATGTTTGGCAATAAATATATTTACACTAAATACTCTAAAAGTGGATATTTTTGCGTGTTGAAATGTTTGCGTTATGATTCTATAAACTGACAAAAGAGTTCAAATGTTCGCGTATGGAAATATTCACGTTATCACTCTTTTAACTAACAGCAGAATGGGAAAAAAAATCGCGTTCCCAATGGTTTAGAGTTGTATATATTCTGTATTTATATTTAATAGTTTACTTTCGTGTTTATTTACTCCACCCGAAAAAACAAGAATTTCCATACCGCGAAAATTTCCGCTTTTACAGTAGTCGTACTATAACCTTGAATCCTCTACAATTGCTATTCCAATGTCAAAGTGTATAATCTATAGGTACTAAATATCGGATTTACAATTATTGTTTGGTTTATACGAAACGAAACGCAATGTATAAGTGCACAGGCCTATCATACAACATATATATCACGATACTGATTATTGGGAAAAAATACTCTTACGCTCACAACTATTAATTTGAGCTCGCTGAACGACCCTTGTAGGGAACTGAATATCAAACTATTAGGTCAATCAATCCGAAACACGGAAGGAGGGCGGGAGGCGGCCTGGCGACCTCAGTTCTAAAGCTATTCCATCCATTACATATCCATTTACCGTTATGGTAGATTCCCTATTGTCATATAAAGATTTTTAATAACATTCAGATCGAAAAAAATGATATTCCAGTATTAGAGTAATCATTTTTTGTTTAGTGTCACGTTGTGCAATTACACCATGTGGGAATATAAACACTTATTCTCGTCATTAAACATCAAGGGGTCGCGATACAGAGCTGGCAGTGGACACACTATATTGGGTTTATTTTCAGTATGCTTGATTTGTTTTTCATCTGATAGCTGATTTGATCTTTTTATTAGTTGTGAGTGGCGATAAATCATCTGCATACATAGAAGGAATTCATCTTTTTTTAAATTAGAAAATGTGGAACCGTTTCGATTTTTACTTTAAACAATCTGGTAGACCTAGATACGTGTACAGCAACGTGCTACATTATAAGAGCCTTTCCGGTTGCTGTATAGAAAGACAATTTTTGCGGTGTGGACATTTTCGCGTTTCGAGTAAATTAACGCGAAAATATTCACACGCGAATATCTACTTAATGGCGATATAGATTATAGATATATAAAATATTTAGATTTCACAACCATTGTCCAAACGAAAATTTCCACATTGTGATAAGTTTAAACGGTTACTAAAGACTAACATTTCCACATGCAATTTTTTTTTGTTTTTCTTTTACAGAATGTTATGTCCGTTTTGGATTCTTCAAAACAAAAACATCTTACTTCAGTTTTGCATGTGTAGTTCCGATAAGCACTGAACATATGAGAGATGCCCACAAGAACATGCAATAGCACTAGTGTGCGATTCAAGACTACATGTCTAACGACAGGGTACCAGTCAGTAGATATCCTTTTCATGAAGGATGT